CCCCAAAACCCCAAAACCCCAAAACCCCAAAACCCCAGTGCGTAATTTTGGGATTGAAGATAGAATAAGTACGTAAAAGCCTAATAATTTAAAAAGAGGAACACAATTACCAATAAATATGAGTCATAAAAGCAGGAGTAAAGCCCCCAAGTGGGGGAAGAAGTCCTCCAAAAACTATGAGGCTGAAGAGATACTTGATATGAGAGGGAATCCTGGGGAGATTCAGTACTTTGTCAAGTGGAAAGGATACGGGATAGGTGAGTTTTGTCCCTCCTTGGGGTTTTGTGGTGGATCTTTGAGATTTTAATGGTTATTTTAGAACAAGCTACATGGGAGCCGGAGAAGAACCTGAATAAAGCTAAAGAGCTGATATAGAGCAGTATTTGAAGCTATCAAATTCTCAAATTCAAGACAAAAGTCTTAAGAAACAAAGGAATACCAAAAACTGTAAGACTCCTTTGAGGCAAATTCATGGAAGGAAGAGAAAAATCTCAGAAAGGAGTTCTAAAGCAGAGAAGAGGAAGTCTCTGCATGTTACCTGAATTGATCTTGTTAGCGATTCTAAAGGAAAACGAGAAAAGGCCCCAAAATAAAAAGAGAGAAAAGAAAGCTGTAGAAAAGCATAAAGAGGAGAGAAAGAAAACAACCAGACGGAATAGAGGAAAATCAGAATGCAAGGCTAAGGGTAGACCACCGAAAGCCAAAAAGGAAACAAAAGCTGAAGCTCTCAAAAGTAAGGATTTACAACTTCTTGATCAGATCTTTAACATCCTATTATCAAAATACTTTAATACTACTTTATCATGACTCCTGATGGCTCATTCCTTATACAAAGAACACCATAAACCATCTATTTGCACTTTGTATTTAAAGTTTAGATCTACTTTAACCTCAAGTTCTGCGACAGCCCACAAAATGATACATTATATAGCCTAAATAATTTCCGTTTATTTTTACCCATCAAATTCTTGCTTTATTGAAATTCCATCTTCCAAGATATTACAAATTCAGAATATTTCGAGGTATAAAATCTAGTCCGAAATGTAGTTATTTATTCAATACCATCACTTTTAGTTGTGTATTCATAATTTTAGCTATTCTGTTCTAAACCAGGGCTAGTTCTACTAGCCCTGGTTTTCCTTCATGTACTAAATCTATGAGATATAAATTTGTTTTGGCTTAAACTTCCATTATAAAGATAAAGTATAAGTAAAAATGTGAATAACTGAATGTAAAACCAGAGTATATTAAAAATATCTAGAGTTAGATTTTCCTAAAGACTACCTCCTTATAATTCCTCACCTACATAGTTTATCTCATTTATCACAAAGCCCAACTTTCGCCTTAGATCCTCGATAAACCTTCTAACCATACAACTTCCTTTTTATTTGATAAACCTCCCTCTAGATCCAACAACACGACTTTCTAACTTCCATAAAAACCTCTAAATACAGCCAAAGCTAGGATCTCCTTTAAATCGGCTCTTAGTTTATTCCTCCAAACCCACATAAATTATTTCAAGCATAAACCCAAGAATAGGTTTTAGATTTCAATATAGGAGCTAAATCCGATAAGAAAACTGGCAGAAAGGCTGACCTGAACGCTCACCCAAGGAACAGGAAGAAAGCAGCCAGCAAAGCTGAGAAGAGGACAGAGAAGAAATCTGTGAAAAAGACTCAGAGGAAAGTAGATGCGTCTAAATAAGAAGAAGAATTCAAGGTAAGAATGGATTAGAGATGTGACTATATACCTCAGATGTATCCCAGGATATTCTAGGATAACTTTTGGGTGAACAGAAGGGGCTGCACTGCTTAAGTGGAGTTAAATATTTTCCTTAGTTGTTATATTGTGGGGTTGTAGTAGAGAGGGCTCAGAAGGTTATTCTAATGCTAAAATTATAGGCCTAAAGCTGCAAAGAAAAGAGGACAGTCTTCTACAAATACTATAAAAGATGATAAAATTAGCAAAGAAAACAGCTCGAATATTATTGATATTAGCAATTCTCTGATAAGTAGCAAATAGGAAATCATTCGTTGTGCAGCATTCAAAGTAGGATCAGAATTAAATCTTTAGAAAATTGGCTTACAAGAAACCTTCTCATAAAGTAACAGACAGAAAGTAAGTCTTAAACTTTACTTTAGATCCTTCCTTATGAACCCTAAGGGCAGAAAATCCATGACCAAGGTGAACATTAGGATAAATAAGCAGTTGCTTAAGCAGAGAGTTGAGAAATTAATCAATAAGAATACAGAACAAACTGGAAATAGGAAACCTCGAAAGAAAAATATAGATAAGGAAACTGGCATGCAAGTAGAAATAGGACGAAATAGCACAGAGAATAAAGCAGAGAAAGCTGAGATGCTAAAAGGTCCTGATGATTCGAGAAATAGTGGAGATCATCATGATACTAGTTCAACAGAGAAGGATGAAGAAACTGCTGATCTGAAGTCTCTGACTTCGACAATTGCACAATTTATTAACATGATTTCAGTTGACTCTACTCCAGTTACTAAAACTATTCAGATTTCGAAATCGATAGTTAGTCTTTTGGGGAAAAGCAACTATTCTTCCTTTATTGAGCCAAATTCGTATGTGTTACCAGTTATAAATGGACTTCCTCCTGAAGGTAAGAAACTTTTATATTTTACCTATAAAAATATTAGTAAGCTTAGGTTTTATACTTTCGTAAGGTTTAGGATATCAATCTATATTATTCCTAATCCAATCAAAATATTAATTCTGAAGATATATAACTTTAATATGACAGAGAAAATAGTTCTCACCTTGTGAAGATTCCTGCTCAATTTCTTATCCATGATTTATAATATTTAGGAAAATATGAAGTAGTTGTCCGACCAGTCGACGATAGAAAGAAAGAATTCAAAGCCCACAATGTATCAGTAGTGAAAAATAAAGGTAAGTTTCTCCACAAACATCAACGCTTTAACTTTTCTTTCAAAAATCTACAACCAAATTCTCCATTACTCAAGAAGGAATTCACTAATTTCCAATCAGAAAAATTCCGTGTCGACCTAACACTACTTCCAAATCCATTCCCTTCCTCCTAACATCCCATATAGATCGAGAAGAATTCACTTGCATGCTATGGTATAAAAACTAATTATCTAAACCTAAAAACTCAAACAGATTCTATTTCTAGTCAAGCACTGATTTTACCCTTCTCTCACTTCTGAATGTCCAGTTGTGTTCTGGCCTAGTTAGTATTTTTGGGGAAGGAAGTTTAGGAGTAGCAGAGTTGTTTGGTATTGATTGGTGATTGAAGAATATAGGAGAAAAAGGGAATTTAGTGTTGAGAATTAATGTTTTGGTGGGTTTGATGAGGGTTTTAAAGCTGGTGCTCAAGGATTGATGGAAAATAGATCATTTTAATTTATCGCCAGATTGATTTATGTTTCTTTAATTTAAAATTATAGAAAGGTTTTCAAACAATATAAACGGTTCAATTTTCGTATCTCACTGTGGGGTTTTGGGGTTTTGGGGTTTTGGGGTTTTGGGGTTTTGGGGTTTTGGGGTTTTGGGG